GGGAGACACAGAATCTGAAGCAGGCTCCAGGCTCTGAGCTATCAGCACAGAGCCCGACACGGGGCTCAAACTCACGGACTGTGAGATCATGACCTGAGCCGAAATCGGTTGCTTAACCGACTGAGCCACCCAGGCACCCCAATCTTTTTAAAGGGACCTGGCTGGCTTGGTTGGTAGAGCATGTGACTCTTGATCTCGGGGTTGTGAGTTCAAGTTCCATGTTGGACACAGAGCTTCCTTGAAAAAGAAAAAAAAAAACAAACGTTAAACATATCATATGACAGTCACCATTCTTACGCGTTTCAACCAGTTTTTGTGTCCTTTCCCTATTTGGAACTTTCCTGTTTCGGTTGTCATCATGGACTCATGGCCTTTCACAGATTCAACTTTTCCAATAACTTTGACAGCAACAATACTAAAATAACCATCAGGTTGATATAGATGCCACAGTGGTCACATCGTGGCCCGTGAGAGGTTGGTTCCTTTGTCCTATCAGTGCCGCTAATGTTATTTACAGCCTGCTGGCTTTCTGGCAACAGGAGGATGTTCCAGTTTTCTCTTTCCCCAAGCCATGGACTCATTGCCCCTCCTCTGGAGGAGGACAGCACACATGAGCCTTCTGAGAGTTGTCTCTGGGCAGGGGGCTGCTGCCCTTGGATCCCTCTTAGTAATCAGCAATGACAATAGTTATTAGTAATCGGCACTGACAATAATTATTTTTTTAAGGTGAGGAGTTTGCATTTATTTTTCCAATTTAACGTAGTGTGCTACTGTACCTCACATTTGTAACACTGGCAGATAAACTGTGGATAGTTTTGTTGTTTTTTTTTTTAAATCTTGGAGCAAGGGGCCCTTGGTTGGCAAAGACATAGAATCTGGCTGTGCCTCTGGGTCAAAAGCGCAGGATCAAAAGGTCCTGCTTTATTCACTTAATCTTCACGACAACCAAATGAGGTAAGCACTCTTAGCACCCCCACTTTACAGATGAAGACACTGAGCTTCCCAACCTTTTCCAATCCCCACTTTACAGAATTCCCAACCTTTTCCATATCGTAGACACGTGTACAAAATAACATACGCCGGATTAAACACACGAGGTTGGCAGGGGCCCGGGTATAGGGTGACCACTCATCCCAGTCTGCCCAGGACTTTCCCAGTTTTACAACTGAAAGTACCTGGTCCTGGGAACGCCTCCAGTCCCCATCCGACCAAGATGGCTAATCCACCTTGCAGAGGTGTCCGGCCAGGGGTCCCTAGCTGACCCATGCCCAGCCTGCCTGGCTGACCTACGGATGAATAACATCTCCTTGCTCCTGTGACCTTTTAATGGTACACCGGGGTGCCTGACCATTGTGGGTGAGACTGAGCAATCGACCTGAGGTCACAGAGCTATTAAAGAGAAGAGCCAGCGTCGAGCCTAGTGCTCTGTGCTCCTGACCCTCTTAACCACGATGCTCGGTCCCTCCGTGTCTCCTTTACGCCCATCCCTTCAGCCTCGTCAGCATGGCTTCATCCTCAGACACTCAGCCCTTGGATGCTGTTGTCTTATCAAACCAACACAAGTAAAAGGGGCTTTTCTCAAAACTGTGTGCAACTTTGAAGAGTGCCTCCAGAACAGGAAGTGTGCCCAAGAGGACAGATGGTAAGAGGGGGACCTCCAAAGGGGTGACAGTGCTCAATCCGGACGTCATGCTAAGAACCTAACTTTTCCCCCCGAAGCCGCTGAAGGTTTTGGAGCGGAGGAGTTACATGATGACTTCCGGGTTGTGAGATGATCTCCCTGGCAGAGTGAGGGAGCAAGGACAGGCCAGGGAAGGCCCAAGACTACAGGCGGGGTGATCTGTTAGGAAGCTGGGGAAAAAAAAAACAAGGTAGCAATGCTGTGGGCCTGCCCCAGGCCAGAGGGAGTGAGAGAGGCAGTGATAAAGCAAAAGCCACAGGAAAGGAAAGAATTTAAGAGGTCTGCAACTTATTTTTTTTTTTCTTGTGGAAGTAATCATATAACCTTTTTTTAAAATGTATTTATTGTTGGGGCACCTGGGTGGCTCAGTCGGTTAAGTGTCCGACTTCAGCTCAGGTCATGATCTCACAGTCTGTGAGTTCGAGCCCCGTGTCCGGCTCTGTGCTGACAGCTCAGGGCCTAGAGCCTGCTTCGGATTCTGTGTCTCCCTCTCTCTCTCTGCCCCTCCCCTGCTCATGCTCTGTCTCTCTCTCTGTCTCAAAAATGAATTAAAAAATTAAAAAAAAAATTATTTATTGTTTAATTTACATCAAGAGGTCTGCAACTTATTAATTTGTTCTTCATTCAGTCTTAATTTCTCCATCATCCACTTATTCACCAAATACTTATTTAGTGCCTGTGAAATGCCAAGAGCTATGCTAACCCTGAATGGAGTCTAGTTGTGAATCTGGGTAACAAGGAGAAACAGATCAGGAATTCAAGAACAGAAGCAAGCCTCTTCAGTGAAGATTTGGCCATGCTGAGTTTGTTAAGTATGGTCAGCTTCAGAATTTCTCTCTGGGATCTTTTTTTCCCCTGAATGTTCATTTATTTATTTTGAGAGAGAGAGAGAGAGAGAGTTTGTGTGTGTGTGTGTGTGTGTGTGTGTGTGTGTTCAAGCAGTGGAGAGACAGAGAGAGAGAGAGAGAGAGAGAGAGAGAGAGGGAGAGAGAGAGAGAATCCCAAGCAGCTTCCTTGCTGTCAGCACGGAACCTGACACAGGGCTCGATCCCATGAACCATGAGATCATAACGTGAGCTGAAATCTAGAGTCGGATGCTTAACCAACTGAGCCACCCAGGCGCCCCTCTCTCTGGGATCTTTAAGAATCAACCATCACAAAAAGCCCAGCTTAGAGCAGACACAAATTATAAAGTATACTTTGAGGCATGCCACGTTTTGTTATTAGATACTCATTCTTTTGAGTCAGTCACTGCTGCTGCAAAGGGAAAATTCACAAGGAATTCTTCTACGATCCTTTCACGTACCTGCTCCAAGACCTTCCGTGATCGCCCATGACCCGTAGGAAAAAGCTTGAGGTCTTTCGGATGGCATCCAAACTGGGCACCATCAGAGTTATAATTTGACATTAATCTATATGAATTTTACTAAAGCCTATTTCAGTAAACTGTAAACTATTTTTGTCCATCACTATATCACCAGCATCTGGCACACAGAGGGTATTTAATGAATACATGTTAAATACAAGAGTAAATGAAGGAATACACGAGAGCAATGTATGTTTGCTCTAGAAAAACTGGACTAGATGTCAACATTCATGGATTCTATCATGGCCTCATTCTTGACCTCCCTGGACTCTGTGGACTTGAACCCCAAGACAACCATAGATACAGCCTGGCTTCCCAGAGGCTCTGAGGCCCGGACAAAGGTCAGTAGTCACCTGAGGGCTGCCTCCACACCCCGAGGGCTCTGCTGCCAGGGTTTTTTTGTTTGTTTGTTTGTTTGTTTGTTTTTGTTTGTTTTTTAAGTTTATTTATTTTTGAGAGAGACAGAGACAGAGAGAGTGAGCAGGGGAGGGGCAGAGAGAGGAAGAGAAAGAATCCCAAGCAGGTGTCACAGTGCCAGAGTGGAGAACGATGTTGGGGCTCAATCTCATGAACTGTGAGATCATGACCTGAGCTGAAATCCAGGCGCCCCTGGAATGACATCGCTTGTTCACCTGACACTCGCCTAGGATTGGACTTTACCCTGGATTCCTGGAGGAATGCATACCTTAGATCCTTTTCTTTTTTTTTTTTTTTAATTTTTTTTTCAACGTTTATTTATTTTTTGGGGGACAGAGAGAGACAGAGCATGAACGGGGGAGGGGCAGAGAGAGAGGGAGACACAGAATCGGAAACAGGCTCCAGGCTCTGAGCCATCCGCCCAGAGCCTGATGCGGGGCTCGAACTCACGGACCGCGAGATCGTGACCTGGCTGAAGTCGGCCGCTTAACCGACTGCGCCACCCAGGCGCCCCATGCATTTGATTTCTATGCTGCATGAAGTCAAGGACCCTCTTGGCTGGTCTGGTGGGACCCTCCTCTGGGTTCTCAGACTCAGCCTGCCCGCATCAGACCTGGTTTGGATCCTGAATTGTATGAACCAACTGTAAGAAAATATTATGAGACAGTCGGGAATTTAAACATTGACCAAGTATTTTATTTTTTATTTTGTCATTTTGTTAGAAAAAAAAAAAAAGAAGCCTTATCTTTTAGAGTATTTATGGGCAAAACAATATGATCTCTGGAATCTGCTATAGAATAATCCAGTAGGTTAGGGTGGGGGTACAAATGAAGTAAGATTGGCCATAAGTTCCTAATTGTTGTAACTGGAGGATGGATGCTGAGGGTTCATGATGCTGTTCTCTCTACCTGTTTCTGTTTGGTAATTTCCATAATAAAAGAAGATATGAGCCCCATCACCTCCCTTTACTCAAGGGTTTGATTCCTCCTCTGGGTTTGTCGAGCCACCTAACGGGCTAAACTGCATCTCGGGGCACCTGGGTGGCTCAGTCGGTTAAGTGTCTGACTTCAGCTCAGGTCACGATCTCACCGTCTGTGAGTTTGAGCCCCACTTCGGGCTCTGTGCTGACAGCTCGGAGCCTGGAGCCTGCTTCGGATCCTGTGTCTCCCTCTCTCTCTGCCCCTCCCTTTGCTCACACTCTGTGTGTGTCTGTCTCTCTCAAAATTAAACATTAAAAAAATATTTTTAATAAATAAATAAACTACAGTCCACTGGTTTCCCTCTCCCTGTTGAAGGCAGGGGCTGTCCTGGGTCCCTTCTGTCTCCTGGGGACATGGGTTCCTGGAATAAATGAACGGATGACTCAGTCTTGGTTCTCTTGTGCTAGGGCATCTGGAGCTCCAGCTAGCAGTAAGTTTCTTTGATGGCAAAGGCCAGCCGTTTCATCCAGCTTTGTTTGTTCTGCTGAGGGTGGGGCAACGTAAAACCTCTGAAAGTAGGTGATATTTGCTGCTCGGTGGCTGGTGCCGAGTGAGTTTCCCGGAGAATCCAGTTACTGGCTGGACTGACAGGCAGGACAGGTGTGGCTTTCTACCCCTCAGAGTTCAAAGGCCTGGCTGGTGCATCTTCCTGGGCAAGCCCTGCTCACGCCCTTCGAGGCAAAGGCAGAAAAGCCAGAGGAGGCAGGGCGTCGGATGACTAGGCACACAGGGAAACAGGACGGGAACTTCTGCCCAGGTCCATGGCCAACAACATCTAGTTAGGAAGCCTGCGGTTTCAGTCACAGATTCGGGGGAGTCCTGTGGCTCCCGTGAAGTGAGCCCTAAAGACGAGGCGAGTCCCAAAGATGAGGCTGTTCAAGCTGCTGATTTTCTTGGCCCACTGGGGAGTCACCAGGGCTGAACCAGGTAGGTGCTGCAAATGCCTTCGATGCCTTTGTTTTGTACTATGAACTCGATCCTGGCCGCTGGGGACTGCTCACAGAAAGCTGAAAATGTTGCCAAAAATAGCAAGGCAGGAAGCTAGGGCAGGGAGGCCTGGGAGAGAGTCAGTGGGGGGTGGGAAGGGGCTGCTCTTTGGGCCTGAAGATTTGAAGCGGAGGCCAGGGCTGGCCAGGGGAGGGACACTGGCTTCACTAAGAGATGTGGGCACATAAGAGCCAGCCATCTGGTGGAGGCAGAAGGTGGCGGGCAGATTCATGAATTCATTCGGCAAACGTTGGTTAAGGGCCATTTGCATATCATGCACTATTCTGGGAACCAGGAATGGGACAGAAAGGAAAAGGAACAAAGCCGAGCCCTAGTGAAGCAGCCCTTCACCTGGGGAGAAACAGACCAAAAGACACACGAGCAAGTAAATGCATGGTCTTCTAGGAGATAATAAGTGTTATGGTGAATAATAAAGCAGAATAAAGGGGTGGGAGTGGGGGATGGGGGTACTTACGAGTGGCCAGGAAGTGACATTTGGGTAGAGACCTGAAGCAGTGAGGGAGAGAGCCATATGGACATCCAGGAGAACATTCCAGTAAGGGAGCTCACAAAGCACACAGGCCCTGAGCCTGATGCATATGAGGACGAGCATGGGGCCAGAGTGGCTGGGGCAGAGTAGGCAAGGTGAGTGCGAGAGATGAAGTTGGGGGCATGATGGGGGGAGGGAGGGCGCTGGGGGCTGGCGTCAGCTCACATATAAGCATGTAGACAATGTGAGGACTCAGGGTAGAATGGGACATGATTAGAGGGTTTGGGGAGAGCTGGGGGGTGACCTGACTTGTGTAGGTTTAAAAGAAAATTTTTTTATTGTTTATATTTATTTTTGAGACAGAGAGAGACAGAGCATGAGTGGGGGAGGGGCAGAGAGAGAGGGAGACACAGAATCCGAAGCAGCCTCCAGGCTCTGAGCCGTCAGCACAGAGCCTGACATGGGGCTCGAACCCATGAACCATGAGATCATGAGCTGAGCTGAAGTCGGATGCTCAACCGACCGAGCCACCCAGGTGTCCCTGTCTTGTGTAAGTTTAAAAGGCTCCCTGGGCTGCATGTTGAGAGGAGACAGCAGTGGGGTGAAGGCAGGGTCTCAGTGTGCCCGAGACTTGCCTAGTTTTAGCACCAGAAGTTCAGTGACCTGGACGCTCCCTCAGTCCTGGGCTCCCTGGTAAAAGAGAAGCAGCCAAACCCATGGGGGGCTGTTGCCATCGTCCCCGTGAGAGGAGGTGGAGGCTCCCCGGGGCGGTAGGAGGAGCAGGGGTGGTTGGAGACGGTGTGATTCTGGACAAAACTTGCTGGCAGATGGTGGGGGTGACAGAAGGACTCTGGGGTGACTCCAAGATTTTTGTCTCAGCAGCTGTGAGGACCGAGTTGTCATTGGCTGAGGTGCAGCAGGAGGGGGTGGCAGGTTGATTAGGGATGTGTCCAGTTGGGGATGCCCGTTAAGGCTTTCCAAGCGGTGGAAGAGGAGTCAGTGGGCCGGCTGGACTTGGAATTTTCCTTAGGATCCTAGATTGCCCTTTCCGGGAGTCCTCGGATGGGACCTTAGAGGTGACCCTCCACCCTTTCTGTAGCTGCAGAAGCTGAGGCTGAAAGGGGTCAGGGCTCTGCTGGTGGCTTGCTCGGTGGAGCTCAGTTCTCCCAGGCTGGAGCTGCTAGGTGCTCCCCTGGTCAGTGCATGTCCCCAGACACTACCCAGGAGCAGCTGGGAGCCCTGGCAAAGCACTCTGCTGGTGTGGCCGCATCCCAGAGGCCAGCGAGGAGGAGCACGGGGCCTGGGGCCGGAGACCAGAGCGAAACGCCTGAGAGGGACTTGGCTCTAAAAGCTCTGACCTCAAGGAGGAAGTGTCGCTGGGATGAGCGCTGACAGTGTGTCATTCCCTGTGAGGGCAACGTGTCCAGGAGACGCTGAGTGGCAGTCCTCCTTCGACCCTGCTGGGGGACTCCGGGCCCTGCCAGTCTGACTGGAGGGCGGGAATGGTTGCAAGGATCTCTCACTCTCTCGCTCTTTCACTTTTCTTTTCTTTTCTTTTTGAAAGTGTTTTAATGTTTATTTTTGAGAGAGAGAGAGAGAGAGAGAGAGGGAGAAGGAGAGGGAAAGAGAGAGAGAGAGAACGAATGGGGGAGCGGCTGAGAGAGAAGGAGACACAGAACTGGAAGCAGGCTCCAGGCTTTGAGCTGTCAGCACAGAGCCCAACACCGGGCTCGAACCCATGAATGGTGAGATCATGACCTGAGCTGAAGTCAGACGCTCAAGCACCTGCCTGAGCCACCCAGGCGCCCCTCTTTCGCTTTTAAATATGCTTTCTTGGAAATCCAAATGCCAGTGGGCACCCCACAGCCCAGCGTCCTAGTGGCTAAAATGGATCTCCCCGCCCCACAAAGGCACTAAGATGTTCATTGCAGCGTTGTTTATGGTAATGAAAAATGCTGACAGCAGTAATGGAATAGCTGAAGAGATTGTGGAAAAAACCACCCGGTGGAAGAGTTTTAAGGCGTCACAGCAAAACTGAGAACAATAGGGATATTTATCAAGTACTTGTATGCCAGGCACTGCTGAAATTTTTACATAATACCCTCACAGCAGCCTTGTCAGGTAGGGATTATCAAGGTCACGGAGCCTCAGAGAAGTTAAATGACCAACCCAAGGTTACACGTGTAGTAAGTGTCCGAGTTGGGACATGAACCCAAGCAGTACAACGTCACTCTGTTTATAAAATAATGCTATGTCAAAACAAAGAGACACTAAAGCAAAGAGCCAAGAAGAGCTAACATTTATTTTCTGAGACTTAGGAGGGGCCAGGCTGATGTTAGTGGCTTATCAGCTGTCCTTTCAAAACCCACTTGAAAAATGAGAGAAGAAAAACCTCATTTGGTTTTTACAGACCCTATAAAGCAGGTACTATTACCATTATGCCCATTTTGCGGATGAGGAAAATGAGGCTCAGAGGAGGCTCCACACTTGCCCAAGGTCCCACAGCTAGGAAGTAGCAAGACCAAGTCCGTACTCAGCTGCCTTCCACAGTATGCCCTTGGAAGGGTCCTCTTGGGATGGTGGGTTTTATAGGTACTATTCTTTTCTCTTTTCTCCAAACTTTCTGGAATGTATACATCTATACTTTAAAAACAAAATTACATTTTATTTTATTTTTTAAGCGTATTTATTTCTTTTGAGAGACAGAGACAGCACAAATGGGGGAGGGGCGGGGGGGTGGGGACAGAGAATCCCAAGCAGACTCCACACTGCCAGAGTGGGGCCGGAAGCGGGTCTTGAACCCACGAAACTGTGAGATCATGACGTGAGCTGATACAAAGAGTCAGACGCTTCAGTGACTGAGCCACCCAGGTGTCCCCAAAATGAAATTTTAAAAAAGTTCCACAGTACCGCTAGGTTTTTTCAGAGTCCAAATCTTTCCTCAAGTGCAGAGAAGTTTGAGACACCCAATCGGAGAGCAATCATACCTGCTCTGTCTTGAACTGTGGGGTTCCTGCTTGCAACTTCCTTAGCGAAGAGCTTGGGTGGGGTGCCTGCTCCCTGGCTCTGTCTCCTCCCATGTAGCCCCTGTGCAGCACAGCCTTGTCTTTCCGCTTCATTTTTTAAAAAATAAATGGTAGAGACACACTCTTTTATTTTTATTTTAGAGAGTGAGAGAGTGCATGAGCGGGGGAGAGGGGCAGAGGGAGAGAGGGGGAGAGAATCCTAAACAGGTTCCATGCTCAGCACAGAGCCCCATGCGGGACTTGATCCCATGACCCTGGGATCATGACCTGAGCTGAAATCAAGAGTCGGATGCTCAACCCACTGAGCCACCCAGGCGCCCCTATCCTTTAGTTTCTAATTGCAGAGAAACAGTCTCTTTCAGTGTGGGTTAGCATGGTAGGAAAACATTTCCTTCAAGAGTAAGCCTAGGGGGCTGTCATGAAGAGAGAGCAATTTATGTACTTACCACAAGAGGTCCTAAATGTTGGATTTAACAAGGGAACCCTCTGTGTTTTGGAGGGCCTCGGTTTCCAGAGGAGGAATTATAACGGAAATGTTTGGGGTCGATGCTTAGGGTCAAAAACAAAGGACTAAAATAGGGACCACGATCATCTTGTGGTGTGGGTTATACACAATAATAATAGCATTAGAACTGGCAGGGCCTTCGGATAACCTTTGTGCAATATTCTCATCTTATGTTTGAGGAAACAGAGGTTCCAGAAGAGAAGAAAAACTGAGGCCTGAGGGGCAGAGTGGCCCAGGGAATGAGCACAGGCTGGCTTGTCCACCACATGGCCAGGTGCCATCCGAGCATCAAGAGTTGGATGCTTAACCGCCTGAGACACCCAGGCGCCCCTCCATGACGTTTTAATTAGAGCTTAATTTCTCACAGTCTGTGGCTAATTCCATAGAAGCCTGTGGTTTCCACCCTTTTGTGGCAACATACATGTTTTATAAAAGCCATCTGTTGGGGGCTCCGAGTCAACATTGTGCCTCAGCTTTGGAGTCAGAGAGGGCTGGGTTTGAGCCTCAGTTTCCTCATCTGTGAAACGGGCATAAGAATCCCACCTCACAGAATGGAGGCAAGGATGAAATGAGATGAGCATGTAAAGGGCACCTGGCTAACATTCTTTGAGTCTCGCTAGTCCCGTCATCTTCCTCGCAGCCTTGCTCACTGATTGAACATCTATTCGGGCATCTTCCACATCCCAGGCACTGCTCGAGGTGCTGAGGACACAGAGATGAACAAGACAGGCTGCGTCTCTCACGGAACTGACAGAGTAGACGGGGAAGGTGGGTGATACACAAGTCGATAAGCTCATTTCATTATGTGAGAGTGTTCTGAAGAAAATAAAACTGAGGGAGGCGATAACTAGTGACCAGACGGGTGGTGGGGGATGGAACTTGAGAAAAGGTAGTCAAGGAAGGCTTCTTTGAGGTGGTGACCCTTGGGCTGAGGCCTGAATGAGGAGGACAAAGCAGCCATGCGGGCAATGACCTGGGGAAGACTGGGGAAGGCCGCAGAGAAGCCAGAAAGAGGCCCTACGAGGAGAAGGAGTGGGGTGAGTTCTTTTGTGTGAGGTCTGTGTGATTTACTTCCACAGTGAAGACACCAGAGCCCAAGGAGGTGGAGCCCCCTGCTCTCTACGTGATTCCTTCCACCATCCTGGCCTCTCCTGGAGTCAGGCCTCCGGGGCACGTGCATGTACACACACACACACACACACACACACACACACACACCACGAGGACTGCCAGGGAGGCTGGAAGGAGTTTCAGTTCTACACTCTGACTAGACCAGAGCTCATGGGAAGGGAGCTTGTGGGAAGAGAGAAACCAACAGCTGACCCGTGAGCCTGTCAGCAGACTGGAGTTTCTGACGTGAAGCAACTTTCACTGAGTTCTTTGAGGGATGACATCAAAAGGGCAGATCTGCTCCCTGTTGATGGTTAGGGGAAAAGAGCCGGCTTGAGGCAGGGGAATGGTCTCTGCATGGTCTTGGGCGGGGCAGGGGTGGGTGGGTGTGGGGGGGGGATCACGCTCCAGAGAGAAGGGCAAAGGGCCTCTCACTGCATCCGACCCGGTCAGCCCCGTCTCCGGCTTGGAAGCGGATGTGACCCCCCCTTTCAGTCTCTGTGCAGGGGCTCAGGAAAGCCTACCAACTCTGCCCATTTACTAGTTGAAACGGGGCAGTTTCTTTCCTCTGGCTTGGGATTTTGTCTCTGTAGGAGTAATTTCACATGCAGTCATGGCCTGTGTAACAAGTTTAAATTGCCCCCATTAGAAACAAAGACTCTCAGTTTGGGTAAAGAATAAACATGCAGGCATAGACTGCAAAAGACTACAAGAAGACATATCTAAAATAAAAAGGCATCGGTTTTACCCTGTTAGCAATCACATCTTCCTGGGTGAGAATCAAGAGACGCAGGACCTCCACCATTTACCGTGTGATCTCAGGCAGGTTGACCTCTGAGCCTTAGTTTCCTTATCTGCAAAATGGGGGTGGTGATCAATATAGGTGACCCTTGAAGAACACAAGTGCGAACTGTAGGTCCACTTACATACAGATTTTTTGATACAGTATTTCCTCTTCCTTATGATTTTCTTAATAACACTTTTTCTCTAGCTTACTTTATTGTACCAATACAGTATATCATATATATATGTAACATACAAAATAAGTGTTTATAAACTGTTTATGTTATCAGTAAGGCTTCTGGGGTCAACAGTAGGTTATTAGTAGTTAAGTTTTGAGGGAGTCATAGTTATGCACAGATTTGTGACTGAGGGAGGGTCGGTGCCCCTAACCTGCACTGTCCAAGGGTCAACTGTACCTGCAGGGCTCTGGTGACTATGTAATGACCTTGGGAGGGATCAAGATTTAATCAGTCATTTGCACCTTAGTATAAGTAAGCTTCTGATCCTTTCCTGGGACCAGGTTTAGATAAGGAGAGGTGAGAAGTCATTGAGAGAGAGGATCAGGGGCTGGACTTGACCTTAGGACCTCTCCTAGAGCCACACTGAATGCCCTGTGGCTTGGGTGGTGCCCCGGCCATCCAACCATGAAAGCTGCAGAAGCTGGGGCTCCCAGGCTGACCCAATTTCCTGGGCTGGGGGCAGGGCGGGGGTGGGGGGGTGGGCACGACTATTGGCATTAAATGACACAGGAAATGGAGGAGGAAGCGACAGCCATGGTGGAGAGTGAGGAAATTCCAGGCTTTAGGGCAGAGGCCAAACCTGTTCCATAAGCCTCCTCGAAACTACTTATCCATTGTGCTGTGCTGGGTACAGATGACAAATCCGCCCCGTGTAGCTCGTTTTCTTTGTTGGGACTCCTTTCTCTCGATCGCACCGAGAGATTTTTTTTTTTTTTTTTTTTTGAGGCTTTATTTTTAAGGAATCTGTGTACCCAACATGGGACTCATTTAGAACCTCAAGATCAAGAGTATCTCTACCACCTGAGCCAGCCAGGCTCCCCTCACACCAAGAGGTTTTCTGGCACCTCAGCTGCCCTTAGTTGGCTGAGACCAGGTTTCAGTTGACCACTTCAGGGCCACTCCCAGCTGCATCCAGAGCCACTAAGTACACACACCAGAAACTCGGCCCAATCTGAAGGAACATTCCTTCTTTTCTCGCCCGGCACTGCTGAGCTGCATCTCCACACATGTCCCCCAGGCTTTCGCTAATTAGCAAGATCTTACAAGGCAATTGGTGTGTAGACTTTCTCCCAGCTCAGATTTTCGTCTGTATTTCTCTGGAGCATGAGAAGATCTGCCTCTGGTTCTGGGCTCAGAAAGGTGAAGCAACTCACCCAAGGTCACACAGCTTTTATGTGGCTCCAGAGCCTGAGTGCTTATCCATGACACTCCCCAAAGTTTGCTCTTTTTTTTTTTTTTAAATATTTTTATTTATTTTTGAAGGGGAGAGAGAGAGAGAGACAGCGCATGAGTGGGGGAGGGGCAGAGAGAGAGGGAGACACAGGATCCGAAGCAGGCTCCAAGGCTCTGAGCTGGCAGCACAGAGCCCGATGCGGGGCTCGAACTCACAAACCTCGAGATCATGACCTGAGCTGACGCTGGACGCTCAACCGACTGAGCCACCCAGGTGCCCCTCCCCAAACTTTGCTTTAAAACAGGCACTCTGCTTAGAACTAACTCCCAAAGGATTCTTTGAGGGTCACGAAGCCCAATCCTTCACGCTGCTGCTGGGTCCCCTGAGGTGGGGAGATGGGGAAGGTCAAAGGTCACAGGGCAGGGACAGAGCCAATCTTTTTCTCTCCTACTCTCAGTGCCTCCCTGGGCAAAGTCAGACCTGTGGCTCTTTTTCTCTGAACGCTGGCTTCAGAGGAAACTTCATTTCACATTTACAGCTTGCTCTCTCCCAGCCCAGGGTACCCCTGGGCATCTTCGCCATCCAGGCTCAGGGAGGGACCAGCATTGAAGAGGGTCTCCTTTCCTCTGCAGGGAAGTTCTGGCACATCTCGGACCTGCACCTTGACCCTGACTACAAGGTATCTGAAGACCCCCTCCAGGTGTGCCCATCAGCTGGCTCCCAGCCGGTGCCCAATGCAGGCCCCTGGGGTGACTACCTCTGCGACTCTCCCTGGGTCCTCATCAACTCCTCCATCTATGCCATGAAGGAGATCGAGCCCAAGCCAGACTTCATCCTCTGGACCGGGTGAGAGCAGTCACAAGAGCTAGCCTTCACCTGCCGGCCTGGCACCCTCCCCACACTGCCTCCATTTGTCCTCTCACCAGCCCTGATTCAGAGTCTACGAACCTAAAGCTCAAAGTTACGCAACTTGCTCAAAGGACTGTTGGCCTGGCTGATCCCAAAATTTGTGCCCTTGACTCTGTGTCTCCCAGACTTAGCAGAACGTAGAACGCAGCTCACTTTGAGGCTGGGGACAGTCATGGCCCATCTGGGTATGTGGACAGCTATTGGATTTTTTTTAAAATTTTTTATTTGAGAGAGAGGGAGAGAGAGAGAGAGAGAATCCCTGTACTCATGTGAGTGGGGGAGAGGGACAGACAAGGAGAGAGAGAGAGAATCCCAATCAGGCTCCACACTCCGTGCAGAGTGCTGGGGCTTGATCCCACAACTCTGGGATCATGACCTGAGCCAATATCAAGAGTTGGATGCTCAACGGACTGAGCCACCCAGGCGCCCCAAGAGTTCCTGGATTTTAAGTCAGGTGGACAAACACCGGGGCCACTCCCGCCGGTGTTTAGGGACTCCAAGCCCTAGAGATCCAAATGCAGGGAGGGAAGAAGGTAGAGGTGAGGAGGGAGCAAAAGGCAAGCTGAGGACAAAGCGCAAGGTAACACCCCAGAGCCCTATTCCTGCCCCCAGGTGGGATATGTGTGACATTCTCAGGCTCCTGGCTGTCCAAGAATGAAGGAAAGGGAAAGGAAAAAACAAGTGGTTAACTGATAAGAGATCACAGTCATGCGGGACATGGGTCTCCATCGGTTTGCAACTGTTTTAATGATTTATTGTGTTTTTTAATTTTTAAAAAATCTTTAATGTTTATTTATTTTTGAGAGAGACAGAGAGAGACAGAGTGCGAGCAGGGGAGGGGCAGAGAGAGAGAGGGAGACACAGAATCCGAAGCAGGCTCCGAGCTCCAAGCTATCGGCACAGAGCCCAATGCGGCGCTCGAACTCACGAACCGTGAGACTGTGATCTGAGCCGAAGTCGGACACTTAACCGACTGAGTCAGCCAGGAGCCCCTGGCTTTATGTTTTGTAAGAAAAAAGCAATCTTATCAATAATCAGACCCCACTTCCCCCCAGAAACCTATAACTCAATTTCCTGGAGCCCTAACATCACCCTCTCCTCCATAGGATAGAAAATCTTCTATAACCAGTCGCTCCTCACAACCCCAGTGCGGCTGTTTTTGCCCACAGGTCCTGTCCCTGTACCCTAATAAAACCACCCTCTTTGCACCGAAGATGTCTCAAGAATTCTTTCTTGGCCATGGGCTCCGAACCCTGCTCCTTCCAACCACATCAGAGAGCCTGAGAGTGGTCTGGCATTGGGACCAAGTGTCCTGGCCGCCCTGGCCCTGGAGGGTTCTCACTGGTCAGACTGTTCCGCCCGAAGATAGCGCGTGGGGTGATTTCTGCTCAGCCAGACTCCATTTCTGCTTCTTATCCAAGGACGCTGCCGTGAGTCCTCCAACTTCCCTTAGCACTGGTGGTCCTTGTCACTCGAGGTCCACCCTTCGCTCACCGGCGCCTTTCTCCCTCCCTTGGTAGGTCAGCCTGACTTGTGTTCAGCCCCCGGGGTAGACACTTGGGGAGCTGAGATGATAAGACCTGGACTGGCCTTCAAGGAGCTCACGGTCTTGGGGCGATGCAGATGAGTCCACTGAACCACCGTATCCCAGCAAGGAGAGAGGGTCACTGGGGGATGCGGGAGCTTCGCAGGGCACCTGATTCCATCTGGCAGAATCGGGGAGGACTTCTCACAGGAAGTGGTCCAGGGAGCTGGTGAAGAAGGCTGGCAGGAGCTCTGACCTCTTGCTCCCTCTTTCAGCCTCAATGGACACTTCTACAGGGCAGGATCAAACCCATGATGCCCTCAGCTGTCCTTTAGTGTGGCATGGGAGTGACCAGGAATGACCCTCAGATGGACCCTGTGGTTGGTGGGGGGGGGGGGCAAAGCTAGACACTTAAGAAATGTGACAGGGTCGTGGTGTCTGGGTGGCTCAGTCGGGTAAGCATCCAACTCTTCATATCGGTTCAGGTGGTGATCTTGCGGTCGTGAGATCAAGCCCCATGTCGGGCTCCACACTGAGCATGGAGCCTACTTGGGATTCTCTCTCTCCCTTTCTCTCTGCCCCTCCCCTGCTTGCACACTCTCTCTCAACATAAATAAATAAATAAATAAATAAATAAATAAATAAACCTAAAAACAACAACAAAAAAGAAATGTGGCAGTGTCTCAGGGCAGTCCCGGGCAGCTCAGGAATCAGTCTAAGAAGAGAGTGAGCTTTAAGCCATGACCTTGAACCCTTGCTCCCAAGAGGCATCTGGCTCCGTGAGCCTCTGCTCTGAATTCTCTGAAGAGGAGCTGTGGGAGGGATGTGCAACATTCTGAAAGATGTGAGCCCTCTGGGAAAGGTGACTACTTTGGGAAATTCTGACACTTTACCAGAAACAGGATGTTTCCGGGAAACCTCTGGGACCTTTTATAATTCAATTTCTAAAAAGTTTGACTTCCCTGGGCAAGTTGCCATCCCTTAGGGGTAATCTGTAGAAACTGGAAGTGTTTTCTTTCTTTCTTTCTTTCTTTCTTTCTTTCTTTCTTTCTTTCTTTCTTT